CTCATCAACAACCTGAGATACGCAGACGACACAACTTTGCTTGCTGAAAGTGAAGATGACTTGGAGCACTTACTGATGATTAAAGACTACAGTCTGCTGTATGGATTACACCTCAATATAAAGAAAACAAAAATTCTCACAACTGGACCAATAAGCAGCATCACGATAGATGGAGGAAAGATTGAAGTTGTCAAAGACCTTACATACTTGTTTCTACAATCAATGCCAATGGAAGCAGCAGTCAAGACATCAAAAGATGTATTGCGTTGGGCAAATCTGCTGCAAAAGTCCTCTTTCAAGCACTGAAGAGCAAAGATGTCTCTGACTAAGGTGTGCCTCACCTAAGCCATGGTGTTTTCAGTCGCCTCATATGCATGTGAGAGCTGGAAAATGAGTAAGGAAGACCAAAGAAGAGTTGATGCTTTTGAGTTGTGGTGCTGGCGAAGAATGCTGAAAGTACTGTGCACTGCTAAAAGAACTAATAAATTTGTTCTGGATGAAGTGCAGCCAGAATGCTCCTTGGAAGTGAGCACAGCCAGACTTCATCTCACCTACATTGGTCATGTTTTTAGAAAGGACCATTCTCTGAAGAAGGATGTCATGTTTGGTAAAGTGGAGGGTCAACGAACAATGGGAAGGCCCTCAATGAGATGAATTGACATGGTACTTGTAGGGATGGGCTCAGGTACAATAGGGATTGTGAGCCTGGCACAGGACTGGGCAACGTTTTGTTGTGTTGTACATAGGTTGCTATGAGTTGGAGATGACTCAATGACACAACAACAACAAATGTACTCAAGAAAAAACTCCAAGCTGCACAGAAGTCACTGGTGAAAAACAAGGCTTCAGGATTGACAGACTCGAGGGCACATAACAACAACAACAACAACAACATATGCATGTGAATGTTGGACAATGAAGACTGAAGAAGAATGGTATCTTTGAATTATGGTATTTGCAATGAATATTGAATATACCATGGATTGCCAGAAGACCCAACAAATCTGCCTTGGAAGAAGTACAGTCAGAATCCTCCTTAGAAAGGAAAATGGTGAAATTTGTCTTAGGTATGTTGGACATGTTATCAGGAGGACCCAGTCCTGAAGATGGACATCATGATTGGTAAAGTAGAGGGTCAATGAAAAACAGGAAGACCTCTCAATGAGATGGATGGATACAATGGCTGCAAAAGGGGCTCAAGCACAGCAAGGATTGTGAGGATGGCACAGGACTGGGCAGTGTTGCATTCTGTTGTACTTAAGGTCACAATGAGTCAGAACTAACTTAACAGCACTTAACAATAAACCCGTCAGTAGCTTCCTTTGCTCTTAAAGTCTCAAATCCTAATCTGGCCTTTGCCCCTCCCTCCACCCTCATCTGCTGTTATTTATTCTCTTATTATGAGTAAACTTCCAGTTCTTCAAAACTTCTACCCACTATTGCCTTTTTTTTCCCTACATGGCCTTTGCATGTACCTTTTCTTCTGCCTCAAATGTTCTCTTTGTTTGGGCTAAATCTTACACATCCTTCAGATCTCATTTGTCGTTCATTCCTCCATTCAGCAAATATGGATTACCAGGGCCTGCTTTGTAGATGCACAATCTGCGTTATTGCACACGGCCTGGTGCTTAGGAAGGGTCTTGCACTTGGCTTAATGCTCTCCTATCACTATTTTAGGAGTTCTGGTAGCATAGTGCCTAAGGCACTTGACTGCTAACCAGAAGGCTGGTGGTTCAAACCCACCAGCCACTCCTCAGAAGGAAGGTTGGGCAATCTACTTCCACAGTGATACCGCTTCGGAAACCCAAGGAGGGGTCACTATGAGTCGGGCCAACTTGACAGCACATAACAACATCACCATCTTAGGCGCTCTGGTGGCATAGTGCCTAAGGCATTTATTTGACTGCTAACCAGAAGGCTGGTGGTTCAAACCCACCAGCCACTCCTTGGAAGGAAGATGGGGTAATCTACTTACATAGTGACCCTGCCTTGGAAACCCAAGGAAGGGTCGCTATGAGTGGGATCCGACTCAGTGTTAGTGAGTTTGGTTTTGATAGCCATCTTGGAATTCTTAATAATTTTGAACAACAAAAAACCAGTTGCTGTTGAGCTGTTGAGCTGATTCCACTTCATGACAACCCCATTTTGAACAAAGAGCTTCACTTTTTTGTTTTTCATTGAGGCCTTCAAATTATGTAGCTGGACAGAAAGGAGAAAAGTTTTTTTTTTCTTTTCCTTTTTTCAACCTCTTCACAGATGTAGAAATGTCACAAATTTGGAGAATGGAAGCTTCTTATAGCCTAGAGACATGTTTGCGAAATTTCTGAAAATTTGAGGTTCTAGTGAAATATTTTACCTGCCTCTCTGAGGAATTTTTTTTATTTTTTCTCCATTGAGTAATGATTTTGTCCTTTTTTGGTTCTTTTAATCACTTTTTCACATAAAAAGTAACTAAATACTAAGTAAAAAGGAATGCTTAATATGGTGCTATCTCTCTGACAGTTACTGCTTTGTTTTTCCATGTTGGAAGCCTTTTCAGCTGGTTATCTACCCTAACTGGAAGAAAACAACTGTCATTCAAAAATGCTATTTCCAACAGCTTCAGGGCAGACTGCCCTTTTCTCTTTTAAAGGCACAATCCAAAATACTCTTCTAGTTTAAAAAGTAGCAGGAAAGAAAAGTGTAGTATTACATGTAGCAATTTTGCTGTTCCCTTTGCCCTGCCCCAGTTACTGCAATAAAAAATGTCTGGGGTTACATACGTGGTAAATTCATTTCTTCCTGTGAAGATTATGAAGGGAACAAAGAAAGGACACTTTGATCCTAGACAAAGATGTTCTGTTCCCAAATGGTTAAACATTAATCCAGAACAAAAAGAAACAAAGGAAATGAGTATTTATTTTTTTAAATTAACTCCGAACAACTTAACAGGCCACTTATTTCCTAGGGAAAAAAGGAATTAAGGATGGACAGCAACCCTTTGATGTATAACCTTGGTCAGCTCATAGGTCTTTGAACTCCTATTTAGTGTTAAAATGCAAGAGTTTGAACCAAATTTCTCTAACGTTCTTCCATATCTACAATTCTATAGTTCTATGATTACGTGGTTTGAGATGGCCCGTTCTGTTGATTTTTAGTCTCCAGGAGGGAGGGAACTAGTTCTCAAAGTGGGCTACCTTGATGGAGAATGATCAATGCCGAGGTGGGTGAACCTCATACTTAATCACGAGTTTTAGGACTCTAGACACGCTCTTGGAAAATTTCTAGAGGGCCTTTTCTCTGCAGGGAGCTCTGGTGGTGTAGTGCCTAAGGCATTTGACTGCTAACCAAAAGACTGGTAGTTCAAACCCACCACCCACTCCTCAGACGGAAGGTCGGGCAATCTACTTGCGTAGTGGTGATACCACCTCCGAAACCCAAGGAGGGGTCCTTCTGAGTCAGATCCGACTCTATGGCAGCGGATTTGGTTTTTGGTTTCTTTCTCCGCTCTTGAACCTGATTTTACAATTCCTTTGACTCTGGGAAGCGGGAATTGGGCAGGATTTTTCTTTTCTTCATATTTGATCTTAAGACAACAAACCAACCAAGACACAGATCCTAGAGAGGGGAAAAGGGAGAATTATGATTACGGGATTTTGAAAGGCCTGTAAAATCCTCCTTCCGCATTTCAATTTTTTCTTTGGGGTCTAGGCGGTTTTTTGTTTTGTTTTGAATATATATTTTTGGCAGAGTGGGCCCAGAATGAGGTTCAGAACAGGAGAGAGGGGGATGATGGTTGTTTCTTTCGCTGGAAGGCTAGCGTGAGAAAGCTACCGGTCGGGCTGGCGACCTGCAGCCCGGCGGGGTCGAGGCAACAAGGGCGCGGCTGCGCGCGGTCGGTCGGGCGGGACCGGGGGAGGGGCTTCACGGAGTGGCCGCGTCCGGAGCACAGCTGCCCCGGTTCGGCGCGCAGTGCGGCCGGGCGGGCGGTGGCGCTGCGGAGGCGGTGACCGAAGCCGGCGGGCGCATAGGAGGGGCCCAAGACTTGGGCAGCCGGCGGCAACTGCCTCCGTGACGACTGCTGGTAGTGCGGCGACCTGAGGAGACCGAGCCGCGGGGCCCGCCGTCGCCGCCTCTGCTGGCTGCCTTGCATCCCCTCCTGCCCTGACTGGGGCGTCAGGAATGGGCCCCAACCGCCACAGGCCTCGCTCCCTGAGGTGTCCGTAGGCCCCAGCCGCCGGAGGCTGGTCGGGCGGCCTCTCACCACCCTTAGCCCCATCCAAGCCGTCCCCACCCCCAAATCCTTGGGAAGGAAGATGAGGGAGACGGGCCCGGCGCTCAGCAGCCAGAGCAGCAGCAGTAGCAGCGGTCGGGGGAGGGTGTTCCGCCGTTTCCTCTTAGCCGCCAGGACAAGATGGCAGCGGCCGCGGAGAGGGGCTGAGCCCGGGCTGGGTGGTGCCGCCTGCTGAAGCGACTGGCTCCCTGTCCCCGGCACGGCCCCGCACCTCGCCCCGGACATGCTCAGGGTTGCGGCCGCCCGAAGAGGGGAGAGCTCGGGCCTCTAGGAAGGTAAGGGAGTAGAGCGAGGGGCGCCCCCACCCTGGGGTGGGGGAACCGACTCGGTCCGCGGAGCCCGTGGTCGGGTGACCATCAGGCCCATCGTCGTTGGGACCTGGGCCGGGCTTAAGCTCCCCGCAGCAGCCTGAAACCTGCCGCGCGTCCTGCGTCTCCCTCAGCATCCCCGGCGCTTTCCTCCTCCCAGTTTCCACCCCGACCCTTAGACGTATGGCCAGGTTCGGGCGGCTCCCCAGGGTTCGCTGTGGCGGAGGGCCGCGCTTGGTTCCGGCGCCAGTTGTCGCAGCCTCCGGGAAGCCAAGCTTGGGCCGGGCCCGTCAGCCCTGTCCTCCCCCTGCCAGCGTTGCGCAACGGCTCTTCCCAGCAACCGAACTTTTGTTTAGTCCCACTGGGGGCCTCTCTTCCCCACCCTAGCCGCGGGCCGTAACTACGGATACCTCTTTTCTTTCATGAAGGAGAACAAACACAAACACACGCACGCACACACACGCAGCTGGAACACCCCAGCCGATGGCAGCGTCCCCAGCTTTGTGGCCCCGTCACCAGCGTCGCAGAGCGGCGGGTTTGGAGGGTGTCGACTCCGGGGACTTGAGTGCGTGTGATTGTTGGGCAGGAGAAATGTGATCCGCCGCTCGGCTCAGCGTCCCCTCGCCGCGGCTGGAGGAAGGCGTGGCGGCCGCGGCGGCCGCGCGGCGGGGCTGTTTGCCGGCTACTCTCGTTACGGTGGCGGTCGCCCGCTTCCCTTCGTTGCACAGAGAGAATTCGCAGAAAGACTTCGATGAGAATATGTCTGTTTTCCTGTCGGGAGGGAGACGGCTGTTTTAAAATGGTACGTGGCTCTCGGCGCAGCCTGTTGTTTCCTAATCTTATCTCTGCTTTAGGAATTGCGCTGAAGGGTGTGAGCTTGAATTACCTTGGACCTGTTACAGAGTATTCAGTACACGTTCAGCCCTTGAAGCGTGTTTTCACAACCTCTTGCTGCCCTGTTAGGGACTTTATTTTTCCACCTGTCAGTTCGCTGCTTCTAATTTTAAGGAACCCTGTTAGCAACAGAAGAGTTTGCAGATTACTGTCCAGTTTACAGCGAAAGCTTTTGGTTCTGTTGTTAACTTTGTTTTCATGTCTTTCTGAAACGGGTGGAAAAGTTACTGTTAAACCAGTGTCAGTCTATGCTTATCTGTACCACCTTCCAATTGTTTGGCTGAGTTTTTCTTTTTCTTTGTATTTTAGGTATTTGCTTGTGAGGTGTAGCTTCTGAAGTGGAAGTATTTATATTCACATCATTTCAGTTTATTTAAAAGATTTACTTGCTTGGTACTTCAAATTTTTTAGTAAGAGGTCCTCATTTTGATCAAGTTTTTGATAAAAACTTTTGACCTGGACCCATGGTCCGTCCGTCCCCCTCCCCCAGTTAAAACGTTTTAATCCTACATTGTCAGATCTAATTTTTCACAAGTTGGGCAGATCTCTCCATATGTTTGATAAGCCTAGATTCTGCTTATGTTTGCAAGTGCAGTTCTAATTTTATACGGTGAGATAAGGTTTTGATAGGTCATGATTAAGCTTAGTATTTTAAGTAAACAAAACAGGAGTGACTTTTTTTTTTTTAAAGTCCTATGGTTTTATTGATAACCTTATGTCTTCATGCCTATTAAAAGTAGTTAAAATGTAACGAACTTTAAATAAAGTTCTTTACTTTTAAGTCAACAAGGTATTTCTTGGTATATTTATGGCTGCATTCATAAAGTGTAGGGAACTCCTATTTATAAAATATAATACTCAACCTGTTTGAGGTTTGTTTTTCTCTTTTTTTTTT